TAGGAGTTCTGTTTTTAAAATCAGGGGCGCCCCATCAGTCCCAGGCTCCAGCCTCGGAGTTCAGGGGTGATAGGAGTTCTGATTTTAAAATCAGGGGCGCCCCATCAGTCCCAGGCTCCAGCCTCGGAGTTCAGCGGTGATAGGAGTTCTGCATGTTTTTAAAATACGGCTGAGTGTCTGAGCGGCTGGTTTCAAATACGGGCCTCTGTGCACGCTCTCTCGAAGAATCTGATTTGCAGCATTCATGGCCACGTGTCACCAATTCCTGGGCAAGTGATGAAGCAAACTCTTCTGGCCAAGACCTCTTAACAAACTTGTGTGACGATGCTGGGAGGACTTTACTGTGGATCCAAACGCCGTATACTGCCCTACAGTGTGTGTACATGTTCTCGTTGTCTGCAGCTTCTTTGACCAAAGGGAGTGGTGCAGCACATGGAGTCTGAAAGTGCAATCCTGCACATCGCAAAACTACGGCTACACCGACACTGAGAAGGTTCCCACACATAGAATTAGAATTGCATCCTCTTGCTACTGATGGAGACTCGATAACAGCAAGGAAGAACAGAGTTTCAGATAGTGTTTCAGATCATCGGCCGTTTTATCCATGGCACTTTGCGCTGGCTGCCTCAGCTTTGCCTAGCAAGATGCCTCGATGTGGAACGCTTGTTTGGCCTTTTTCGACTAGACCCCGTTCGCCTTAAGCTTCCAAGGTCATACTTAAAGCTGTAGGTACTTGGATTGGCGGCTTTGCTATTCATGGCTCGGGCTCGTGCTGGTATTGTGCACTCGACTGTGCCTCTGGCTAAACTCAGCGACGGGTAAAGTCAACTTCCATCAGCGTCCGAGCTCCTTTCGTTTCTCTCTTTGAGGTGTCCGCAGACGCGACCGTCGATGCAAGATCTGTCTCGAGCGTAGTGAAGGACCCTGAGAGTTACGAGGCAAAGGAATTGCTCTGTCTAGCATAGGGTGTCCATGGATGTCCAGCACAATCCGGCAACAGCACGTTCCAGAGAAAAGACGTTGAAGCATGGAAGGCTTTGGTTTTCCGGCCGCAAGAGGGGCCGGGGAGACATCTTCCACTTCTGCTCTATCTCCATGGGGCCGGTGAGATGCATGGGAGCCTTCATGAGATCATCTCGGAGGCTCGGCGGCGGCTCAGAGACGGGTGGGGACCGTTTTGCATTTTGCACTGCACTCCGTGCAGGGAGCAACCGGCACACCTCCGGTGGAACTGACATATGCGAGAGCTCCGAAGGTCTTGTCACGTCCATGGTGCGAAAGTCGGATGTCAAGATGTTGTTTGGGTTGAGCCAAGGTTCGTTATTCGTGATATCTGATGGGTCACCGAGAATTAGCATGATGTTGACATACTCGTACCGAGCCGAGGTTTCGTGGTGGTGGCACCCCACACGGCAGAGGCCGGCTTCACAGGTTTGAATTCAGCAATATTGAGCACATGGCATGCTGTAGAGCTTCGTGATCTTGAGCGTCTTAGTGGGACTTGGGAAAGACTTAAGCTAACGTTTGCCTGATGATCCGAGTTTTGCAACAAGACCCCCGAAAGAAAGTGGAGTTTTGGGGTAGGAGGGCAAGCTGCAGGCGAGTGCGAGAGTCCTGCATGACTTGTGACTCAGAGAGTCGGGACGGCCAAGAGGTGGACGGGCGGCGCATGATGAGTAGAAGCATCGCGGGCCACCACCCCGAAGCCCCCCGAAAGTGAGGGAAAGGTAATGAAGCCGCGAGACTGGCCTTGCCCGCCGAGTTGGGCTCGCGCCTCCCTGCAGAAAACCCCCTTGTGAGAAAGCAATCAAGCGAGCATCACGTGGCACCCAAGGCATCCCTGTGTCACCCACACGGTCCTTGCACGCATGAGCTGGGCACCCGTGAACGCGTGTGGGGCCTGTTGGCAGGGCTGGAGCGTGGAGCGCGTCGTAAAGTTCTTGGACTTCTTGCTGAGATCTGACCTGGGTCTGGATCCAGCCAGGCTTGGCTTCTGGAAGAGAGGAAGAAGTCGTCGAGTTAGTGCTTCGGGAACTCAGCTTCTTCCGCAATGACGAGCCTTCTCGAGGTTATATGTCACCGGACATTCGATGGGTGGCGCCGGAGCTTTGCTTGCCGCAACGAGCCACCGCAACTTGGACGACGCGTCCTTGTCGGGTCCGGCACCATGCGATAGCATGAAAGTCAGGATTTGCGGCTGCAGTCCCGGTTGCTGCGTCCGGCGCGCCTCCGGCGGAGCAGCTCAAAGGCCTATGCACTCTGGCAGTCTCGGGACAGTTGACAGCTGTCAAAATGACAAGCAGGAGTTCCCATTTGGGCTTTTCATGGCCGAAATGATGTGATCGTGCCGAGCTACATCACATCCGAGCTTGTTCAAGCTCTGTGGCGGAACGGTGCCAGTCAGGCCCGTCAGTGCAATTTCTGCTGCGACGTGTGCTTTGCGTAACGGGGGCTATCTGCGGGAAGGAAGACGTCAAAGTCACGCTCTATGACAATGCGCCTGCGCCTCATGGTTGGCCTGATTACTTCGGGCATGCCAGCACGATCCCAGCTTATGTGTCTTGGCAAGACATTGTGGTTACCAGTCAGTGTCAGTGGTTCGGTCAGTCAGTTCTGGCATGTTCTGGCTTGCAGTTGCCGGGCCCTGGAGCCTGGCAGGCCGAAACCGATCTCTACGAGTGGCTGTTGCGGCAGCAGCTGCCTGCGGGACAGCTTTGAGCATGCCTGGGCATGGCATACATACGGCGAGCCGAGAAATCTGTCATGAATGCTATTCTGCATTTCGCTATACCGCACGAACCGCGTGATTTGGTTACCACTCCTGCTGTTCTTAAGCAATGTGGGAGTAGCATCAAGTGACAGCATGGCCTTTGGAGCATCTCTGCGACACCTTTGACAGTGAATCTTGAACTGAATCAAGTCTGCACTCCCAACAGCATACTGGTAGTGGGCAGTTGAATTTGATGTAGGTATCGGCTGGGCATGTCGGGTCCCCTAACCGGAGCCAGTGCCGAAGATGCCGAGCGGAGCCCGTTCTCGAAAGCGTGCTGGCCCCAAAAGTGCATCAGACGAGTCATGGCTTGTTCAGACCTCCTCTCCCCCCCTTCCCCCATCCCCCCCACACACACACACAGGCACACAGTTGCCTCTTCGAAGGTAGCAGGAGGCAGCTGCTTCTAGATTCTAGGGGTAGGGGTGACTTGGAATGTTTGTGAAACCTTAGGGACCGAATCAGTGTTGCCCATCCCCGGTGACCGCACAGGATCAACATTGGTTGCACGCACGAGCACGGAAAAGGCAAACCTTCAACTTGCTGTCTGAGACCAATTGCCCAAGCATATCGTTGCCCAGACAAACATGTGAGGAACGAAGCGCTGCAGAAGAGCGGCAGCCAAGCTCCAGAAGAATTGCCACTGCATTGGGAGTTGCAGCTGTCGTGGCAGTAGCTGGCTTGGCAGGCCGCTGGGAGTCTATGCAAGGTTGCTCAATACTTCTTTGTCCTGCGATACCTGGTACTTGGCAACTGACCGTACGATCTTGTCACCTCTCGAGGCTTTAAGAACTTCAATACCTAGTTTGACCACCAGTGCTCTGCATTTCGGTAGGATTCACTTAGAGTGGCTGCGTTTACGGGTTAAGTCTTAGTCTTAATTCGCACCATTTTCACCTATCCAGTTCGGCTTCCCTGAGTTGAAGGCAAGCAGCTTTTTCATACTTCGACGGAGAGTGGCCGCAGCTTCAGTGGCGATCCCAAGATTTACGGCTTCGATGTGGCACGGGGCCTTAACACTGTCTGCAGCTGCTACTGCATGGGAAGCAAGTCTGAAACGCGTGAGTTTTGACACGTTCGGCATATCCACTCTATGTTATGTGCATCCACATGCAAGGTCGAGACTTATCCACATGATCCGGAGGCCTTTACGCAGGGTCTTTTGTGGGCTAACGGATCACTCTACGAGTCGACCGGGCTGTATGGGCGCTCATCTATTCGAGAGTTTCAGCTGGGACCCGGAGGCGGGATGCGGAAGGTACTGCCCGCATCGGAAACTTCTACACTTGCTACTTACTTTGCTCTCTACCTCCAGGTGAGGTTCGCTTGATCCGGAAGCTGGAATTGGATGGCCGAGACTTTGGAGAAGGGCTTGTCCAGAGGAGGCCACATACCGTCGCCAGTGAGTCCCCACATCTGCGCTTCATGCACATAGACCTCCCTATTCAGGGGTCAGCTGCTCCAGTTACTTTGGCGACGAGGTGAAGGCATTCGCCCCTTGGCAGCAAGACACGAGCAAGAAAGGGATGCACTGAGACAGGTCCAAGCCCAGCCTGGCCGAGGTTATCGGGCTCGTGCAGGAGAAGGTGGCCAACTGAAAAAGGCTGGCAAATTCCGAACTCCTTTGAATGACGGCTGGGGGCCTCCCTGTTGCAATTCGGGTTTCTGAGCAGCTGCGGATTACAACTCCGATCCGGAGTGCACACCGATCGAGGATCGAAGCACACGAAAACCAGCTGATCCTGACAGCCGCTGGATTCGAAACTTGTAAGACGCTGCATTGGGAAATTGTGGCCACTGCTGTGGCCCGCCTCTCCACTTTGCAAGCACTCAGAGGACAGTGGCCATGAATTGATTACGCTCGACGAGAACTTTGAGGTTGTCAGAAGAGAAGCTCTTCTGCAGATTCTAGGCAGTTCGGGCCTGCATGGGGCTGCGAGGTGTTGGAATCTTCACTGGTCTTCTTCTATAGCAGTAAACAGGCTGTTTGGTGTGTAGTACAGGTGCCGGTCAACGATGCCGGCGCCTTCGTTGAGATGGTCAACGAGCTCGAGATGGTAGGCAACGAAGGAAGTTCCGCAAAGGATAGGGGCAATGCTTCAGCGACTGGCAGGTGAAGAGCTCTGGGCTAATGTGTACGGAACAGAATGTCTTGCACGCATCGACACGGAGTCTGGATCCGTAACTGGCTGGGTGCTGCTGCATGGGCTGCTGGAGAAGGAGCGCACCTTGAATTGAACAACTTCTGCAAGGGCAATGAGTCTCGGAACTTGGGAGAACCTGCGGTGCAAGCGATTGAGTTTTGGGCTGTTGGCCTGCCTAGTTGTGCTGCACATTGCGCCATGAGTTCACGCGACGTACTTATGACTTGGTTGACTTCTGATCGTTACACATAGCGTTTAAACGATGTAAAGGATACCGGGCACGCGTAACAGTGAACCGGTGACCGAAACCAGGCTGCACCGCCGAACTGGAAACTATGACACCGGGAACGGAACCAGGCTGAGAAATCTGAGAGTCGTTGGGGGCATTCGGGCATGCCCGGGTTTGCTGGGTGCCCTGCTGTTGGCCTCTGACCCGCGGAAGGCATGCCCATGTTGGACTAGAAAGGTCTTCGCCTCGTTTGTTCGCTTTGTGCCGCCAAAGCTCCCGCAACTCCCCTGCAAAACAGGCCAATCAGCATTGGCATGAAACCGCGAGAATAGGTAGTGACAGTAGGGCAGCGCTTGGGGCTTGCACGCGGCACATGCGTCGTTCAAACGGTTGGCTTAGTTAATACGTCATCCATGCCAGGAACAAGCAATACAACAAGGCCAGGCAGTAGCCGGTTGGTTGTTGGTGTATCTAAGCTTCTTCAGTGAGCAGCAAAGGTGCGAATTGGCGCGCTGGCGATGCCGGGTCCGAGGCACCAGATGTTCTGAATGGCATTGCATGGGACGCAGCCAGCAAGCGCCTCTTTGCGCCTTGGATGGTTGAGGTGATGAAATGGCATGCTGAGGAGAGCCTGCTAGGTGTGTCCATCTCTAAGGTTACTGGCAAGCTGTGGTCGCAGTTGTACGAGATTCAAGTGAAGCCCTCGCAGGTGAGCGTAGAGCAAGCCAGGCGCTTTTGCATACCCAAATCGAACCTATTCCGGCGCTGAGACGGATGTTGCGCAGTGAAAAAGTACACGAGATGCCCTCTTTCTAGCACGATGTGGAAGCAGACGACGGACGACGACCACGACGACGACTGCAATGCAGCATTCATTCATTCATGGTCATGTTCGTCCAAGTAGTAGTCAGTAGTCAATAACTATCACTGTCAGGGTCATCATCAGAATAGTCCTCCTCCTCCCTCTATTCCTCCTCTTCCTTATCATCATCGGCAGCTCAGGCAGCAGCCGCAGCAGCAGCAGCCTTGTCATCATTATCGTCGTCGTCGTCGCATGCAATTGCCGTTGTTGGTCTTTGCTATCACGAAGAATGTTGCATCTCTCCTGCAGAGTTAGCCTCGCATTGCTGTTGCTGCAATTTGCGGTGGTCGTTTGATCATCTTGCAGGCCTGGGAGAACAGTGTGCGGATCGGCTCGTCAGTGGCACGCAAAGGACGGATGAAGTTTGAGGTCGCGGCACACTGCAGTTGAATCACAAGAATTGAAGGACTTTCTGACGATGTGATTACAATGCTGAAGTGCTTGGAGAAGACGTTTCCCGAAGAGGCTTGCTCTGCTTCGTGCCACGAAAATAAAAGGGAACCCACATCAAATCCGTGCTGTGCAGGTCTCACTGGGCAGGGCCAGCACCCCGAGACTCCGACTGCGATGCTATGGTTCCCCACCGCTGAAGCACTCTGAAGCCAGGTGCTCGGTGCCAAAGCACCCAAGAAGCAAAGAACAGTGGCTGAAGATGCCGTCGAAATCCTGGAAGCTAGCCACTACCAGGATCTGCTGAAGATTGATGTTCCGTCTGTCTGAAGCCGCTGATGCTTCTGCAGTTGCTGATCCCTCCAGTACTTGTATGTTGCACCATGCAGCGTGTCACAGATTTACCAACAGGTTTCGAGTTTGCACATGTCCTTCCAGGAAATGCCCATTCTTCCTACTTCAGCAGAAATGCCTCGTTCTCGGCACAGTATGTGACAGGTGTAGGCTGGCGCTAGGCAACCGGGCATGCGACACCATGACATCAATGACATCCATGTGCAGAGTTTGAGGGCTGCCAGTTCAGGAAGTTGCTGCCTGTTGAGACAACATGTCTATTGGACAGGATTGGACATTGCGCCTTCGAAGTTTCAGCACCCTGAGTTGCACTGTTTGCAATGGAGTGGTGTTCGTCTTGATCAGCTTGTACCTAAGGAGAACATGCAGACTTATGAGAAATGCGCAGACTACATTCAGACTCACTTCATGCTTCTCAGAGAGGATACCAGAACTACTTGCAAAATGCTCAGCAAGCCTCGCTTGGCTGCTCTTTTGCATTGTCGAAAAGCGAGCTACCTGGACAGGACTACATCGAGCCTCTCCGTGCCGGCATCAAGCTCTTCATGCAAGGGCGCCACTCTCCAAAGGAGTGCTCTTGGACACTTCGGAATGAAAGGCTAAGCCAATGTTCTAGCGAGCGCCGCCATGCAGACGCAGCAGTATTGCGCAGGATCTGCATGTTTACACCGGTGTCAAGGTGGGAAAACCGGATGCTTGCTGCGGATGCTTGTGCTTGACATGCTTCCAAGCTTGGGCTCCAATCCAACCAAATTGTTGAGCTGTGATGAGCTGTTTTTTCATTGTTTTTCCTGCAAAAACCCTTTGACGTGCGCATGTCTGTCTATGTGAATCAACTACATGCCGCAGCAATACACTTGGGCACAGAGTCGGATACATCGTCATGGAGAGGCACATGCAAGAATCCTACAAAACAGAAAACAAAATGAAACAATAAGAAACACAAACAGACAGACTGACAGATGCATTCCCAGGGACGGTGCAGAGAGGTGCAGACACTCAAATGCCAGCCAGCACAGAGGCGCATATACAGACACAGAGGGAAAGAGATCCAGACGAACTTGTGGGCGGTCAATATGGAGATTTCATGCATGCTAGAAGTTACATGAGCAGCAGTGATGTTGATGACAATAATGATGATGATGATGATGACAACGAGAGGAGAATTTCGGTTACACGTATGCCCGCACAAAGAATGGCATGCGTGCAAATGAGGTGATACGAAACGGATAGAGGTTCCGGCCCAGCGTGAAGATGAAATGGGCGGTGAATCAGTCTGAAGCCCCTCTCCAACTGTCCACGGCAGGCAATGCAGGTGCTTTGCCCGGGAAGCGCAGGCGAGCTTCGTTCGACTGCAATATCAGAAGAAGCGGCCCCCTCATGAACGAGGACAGTACATATAGGGCGGCGAACCACCGCTTGTTCCGGTTACGGTTATGAAATGGCTGCAAACATGTATGCCCAAAAGGGGCCATCAGTTAATCTGGAGGCTACAGAGGATCCTTTCTTGCAGGGCAGGTACATGCAGGTGCAGTCAGCCGATTAGGCTGGATGTTCAATGCGCAACCGTGGCTTCGTTGCTCACGGTCAGCCGTGGACGCTGTGCCTCAAACCTGAATGGCTTCAATGCCAAGCAATCTTGGGGAAAAAAATGTGGCGACAAGAAATCCGGGTGTGAGACCGACCCTGCTTCCGTGAACTAAGAAGGTACACACTGCCGCGGAAGGCAGAGAGAGAGAGCGAGAGAAACACACACACACACACAGAGACAGACGGACGGGTTGGAAGAGGCGAGGTTTCAGGTTAGTGCAGCGGGAGACAAAGCCGCCACGGAGTACAGGCACAACATGCATGTTAGGACGCAAACCCGCACAGGCGTGATTGGCAGCAGGGAATGTCAACACCAACATCAATCATAAAACCCGTCTTCACGTTGTAGTTATTGAAAGACTAGATATCAGGTCAGGGAATGCATTGATAATTTGCAGCCGGAACTTTAGGAGGTTGTTGTTATGTCTGGCGCAAGAGCAGATGGGTGGTTTGCAAGTGACCATGAACGGTCAGCAGTGACAACATGCCAAAACCCTTGTGCAGGTTGTTGGTGTGTTGAGCACATGGGAAGGTCAGGATCTCAGCTAGGGGATCATCGGTTTTGTTTGGGTCCTGGTGCCTATTTTACTTAGACTTGTAGTCAGAGCAAGGTCTTGTTTACCGCATCGAGCTCCGCCGTGAAGAGGTGCTGGTCATCATAGTAACATAGTCCATGCACATGTGCTTTGAAGAATTATGAAATTGCAGCTTCCCCCCACACGGATCCCGCGGCAAGTTCGGTTTGTTTGGGCTTCCGCCCAATGACGCGGCTTGGCAGTCAGGCAACAGTATTTCGACGCTCCAAAGAAAGTCTTGTCTTTCTTACACTCGTATGAGTAACGTGGTTCTCAGCACGGACATGCACTTGGCTCTGCAGAACGTTGTCAGATTCGCAAAGTCAGCTGGGACAAGTCAAAGCAGCTCATGTGCGCCATCGCTTTCACAAGATGCACCGACATAATGTTGGTTGTGGCGACTCTTCAAGTTAGCCTGTGAGCGCCAAGCCGAAACATGCTTTTAGGGGTGGACCATCCTTGCAGGTACGGCAGTTTGCTTTGCTTCTCGGATGACGACTTCAAGTCCCTCATCTGGGCAACGGATCCTCGCTCGGACTCGCTCGGTCAGCTAGTGACACAGCTTCTGGTCTCACAGGCATTCTACTCATTCCGAGGTTTGGCGTCGAGACCCTGCGCTCATTTCTTCGAAGGTTCGCCAGCTCTGTCTGTGATTCTCGCTATAGCGAGATCAGGCTGAGCACCCAACAAGCGAAGGAAGGCCTTCAAGCTCCCTCAGGGCAAAGAGCTCGTTCGAGTGTTGAAGCACATTTCCTCGATGTAAATCGAGTCTAGGTCAAACGGAATGAGTTTACAGAATATCTCTCTGATGAGGACCAAAGATCCAAGACAGCAGGTAAAGCACGTGGACCACATTGTCGTAGCCTCGCATGGAAACTGGACATGTGCTGGGATAGAAACAAACGCTAACCCCCCCCCCCCCAAGAACTATCGCGCGAGGTGCCGCGATAGCGCCACCAATCCTCCTGCGTTTAAGCTTCTGGTGTATGATCCAGGGTTAACGTTACGTTTTGAAGTTTCGAGGAGACAGCAAAGGTATATCGGCAGAAGCCGTCTGAATTCTTGCGACCGTTCTGGCAGATACTGCGAGAGATGATTTCTCCAAGGATTAAAGTCATTTCTGTCACGGTAGCCTTCACTGTAGTCTCAGATTAAAGCCCCGGCAATATGCATGAATGACCGTGGGCCTTGACGGACTGCTATTCCTAAACAACAGTATCCCTAAGACAAACCCTGCCATTAGGCCTTACATTGGCCTCAATGGTGACAGTATTCTTCTATTTCATGTTCACCCAAAAAAGAGTCCTTATAGATTCACGCCTCAGTTCGTCGGATTAAGATGCTATGTCGACTGAACCCCATTATGCATCCTCTTTTAACTCCCATATCGACCTGAAGGTGAATATATGTAATAACATACATTAGCCTGATTGGCCCCCCGATAGCGAGGACATTGCAGTCCCCTTGGCAACCCTGCTATTGGATATGACTCCAAGATGGACCTTACTCGCAAACTTAATATTACCCATAAGCTGTTCGCATTGGTAACCTTCGTACTGTACCGGATACGTCCTTCCACATCAACCCAAATAATGGCTTTTGGAGAAACCCCGACCATTGGCCCCATCAACACGTAAATTAATCCAGATGTAGCTGTGGAATCTTGCGCGAGCATGCAAGTCCCCGAAGTTTAAAGTCATGGCATCCCCAATGTTAGTTACTTACTGCACATATGAATACAACTAAGCCAATACATGCCTAACATTTACTTCAACGGTAGCCATCACGTTCATGCAAATATTAAACTACACAAAACGATACCCATCAACAGGTACGATCGTTGGCGTCTTCGCTCTGGCATTGCCCAAATGGTGGCCCGTAGATTTTTTGGGATGATACCAGCATTTGTTTGCTTTACCTCATCATATTCTATGTGGCACCCCCTTTCTCATTGTAGCATATGACCATCTCGGATTCGTTGTCGGACTTGCCCGTATGCGTGTATGTACATGTTTGTATATATACACATGACAACCCAAAGGTTAAACCTCTACTAGATACCAACATAATGACGAGGATTGTTAACTGACTCCTGATTCCAAACAGCATCAACCCTGACCTATCCTTGTCATTCGCCCTTATGTCAATGGTAATCGCCTTGACAGCAGCCCTAAGGCCATCCATAGTCGGCTTAGTACATAATCTGACCCAGATGTTTCCCTTATTCAAGCTACAACCTTAGTCAGCCAAAAGAATGGTAGTGGTAGCTGTACTAACCCTGATAACCTGGGTCGTGGTGGTCTGTGTTAAACTGCAACAGTGGTTCCCTATTTACCCCAAAACTGATCCGGAAAATGTCCTGGTTATTACTTCTTGTATAGTATAAATGCTAAGCGGAATCGAACCCCAATAGTAATGACGCTGGACGATTTTTTTTGGCAACACTAGTTCGTAAAGCGTGCAAACAACAGATGAAATACACACACTCTCTCTCCCTCTCTCTCGCTCTCTCTCTCTGCTAGGAAAAAAGTTGGTCTTGGAGTGAAATCCCAACTTTCGATGGGAAAAAGATGGTTTCTCCTAGGAAAGGGTGGTCTTGAAACCAAAAACCAACTGGTCTTACGGAAAAAAAAATGTTTGGGGAAACTATATGGCCAGACTCCAAAGGATTGTTTTTTCGAATTTTCTTAGGGAGAAGTTGGTTTTCCTGCCCAAGACCATCTCTTTTTGTAGGAAAACTTTGGTTTTTCGGCCCCACCAATGTTTGCCTAGGTAGAATTCGGCCCAGTTGGTTTTTTGACACAAAACCATCTTTATTCTAAGAAAAATTTGGCTTTTGCACCGAAAACCCTAGGGACAACAAAAAACTATTTTTGGAGTCTGGCCGTATAGTTTCCCAAAAGATGTGATTAGCTTGCCCCTAGGAAAAAATCCATTTTTTGGTCGTTTGGAAACTGAGCCAGGCTAGCCTGGGTGGTTCGAACTGGTTGGTAGCACGCCTGTGTGGGCTGTGCAGGATCGTTTTCCGAGTGAAAACCGAAAAACATCTTTTTGGAGTCTGGCCGTATAGTTTATCCAATGATTTTGTTTTGTTTTTCTTGGTTTTCCCTAGGAAAAAGTTGGTTGTTTGATTGGAAGAGTACAGTGTTGCCGTTAAGTGCGTTTGCAATTCGAACCTAAATGAGTTGCTTGGCGGTTTGTTTTTGATTGGAAGAATACATTGTTGCCGTTGAGTGCGTGCTCACGTCGAACCTGAACGAAATGTGAGTTTGATTTTGGCAGTCTTTCAGAGATGCAGAATCCGGACCTGCCGGAAAAGCTGGTTTAACACGTTATTTACGATACAAAACGAAAGTCGGTAGTTCGGGGGGGGGGGGTGTTACCAAACAAATCTACCGTAAACACAATGACAGTATATGACAGTGCTCAGCCGGCTGCTCAAGCTCAACAGCACCAATTGCAGCACCAGAATATGCCATCACCTGGACAAGAAGGAATTAAACGCTCCAGTGTACCTCAATTGCGGACTTCCGACCTCTCCGGCTCGCTAGGCGATTCGTTCAATCCTGACCCCAGAGGAGTTCATGTGTTCTCCCTGTGCCTGAAAACAGATCTTACCTTTCACGTTGGTGGAGAGGCGCAGCTGGACATTCGGCTGCCTTTCGATCCCTGGGACGACAGACTTTCGCCCGGCAAGGAACGGCTCAAGCTTCACATGATTTCTGTGAGAATGGCTAACATCAGTGTCATGCGCCATGTTTGTATATGTGTCCCGTGCTCCTGTCGGCTCGTCGCGCGGCGCAGGTGTTTTGCTGCATAGAAAATGTGACGATTTACTTCGAGGCCATCAGTCCGAGCAGACCACGAAGTGCCTTGCGGTCGCAGCTTCACTGCGACGATTCTTGGTTACAGGCGTACAGGCACGTCTTGATTGCGCTGCAAAACATGCGGGCCACAGATGTCATGACCTCGCACGCTCATATTTCCCTTGTCTGCGGGCTGTGTGGTGAATCTTCTTCAGGTCCCCTTTCAGCACACGCTGCTGAGCCAGCAGCCCGATCCGCTGCCCCCAACATATCTAAAGGACGCGGGCTTGGGCTCGTGGACTCGGGCCTGTCATCGTCTCTAGAGCAGGAAGAGACGGACATGTTCCACTTCCACAATGTCTTCTCCAGTTGCGAGAAGGCCAGTCTGAGCAAAACGATGAAACTGAAAATGTACCGGAACGAATTGGCGTTGGTTCAGCGGGCAGCAGTGACCTGGCAACACATGACATCTGTGCAGGCGGATTGCGAAGTCTCCGCTCCGAAGTCCTTCCGTATTCTGGCAGAGTGGCCACCGGCTCTCCGACAGCTTGAAGCCTAGCAGGAACATAACTCCTCACAATCCGCCAATGCAAAGTCACAAGTCTGCTGAGGGCTCTGGATCTGGACCCATCGCAACTGGACGCAGTGCAGCATGCGCGCCGCTGAGTGCAAATGAAGTCAAACGAAGCTCAGGCTGAGGCTTTGCTGACTGCAGCTGACAATGGCAGCCTCCTAGCTCAGGCGTTGACCAACCAGATGGCCTTGATTCAGGGTCCCCCTGGCACGGGAAAGCCACGCCCTTAGCGTGACACTGTTTCTTGATGTTTTTTGCAGAGTTGAAATCTCGTCAGTCCTCTCTGAGCTTGTCCTGGTAGGACCTTTGTTGGATTGAAGATCGTGCAGGACACGCCGTCGACTTGACACGACACAGCTCAGCATACCCTTGACAACATGGAAAGGCAATCTTGGACAACACGAAAGTCCTTCGCCATTCGCCGATTCTGGTGGTGTGCTACACGAATCATGCCTTAGACCAGCCAAGCCGGCAAGTCTTGCTAGTGCAGCTGCTGCAGTCGCCAACGACGGGTGACATTTTGCGCAGGTTCCTCGAAGGAATCTTCAAGTTCTGTGAGAACATTGTCCGCATAGGCGACTGGCTCGAGTCCACGTTCGAAACTGCAGAGGATCCGTGCCGTTGTCTTGCACGAGGCTCCCGCTCAAAGAGCGAGCAGATGATGCGAAGAAACCTCAAGGACTTGGTTCATTTCACGTTAATCTGAGCTGGCTTGCGGAAGGGCCCGGCCCAGCCAGGAACTCGTCATGAGCGTGCCGTCATCGAGGGAGTTCCATCAGGCCGGCAGCCGCCTACGGATCGTCGGAGAAGCCCCACCACTGGATTCTTTGCTTTTATTTATCAGGCGCGGAAGTGTTTGACAGAGCGTGCCGGCCTTGTTGGATTCGATCTGCTTCTGTGATATGTCATATCCTCGAAGCGAACTTCCAAAACTCTGCATAGACTCACGGTTTGACGGCCGTCACAGGTCGGGACTACCTGCGAGACGAGCTGTCGAAGGTGAATGCCTGCTGAATTGCTTCTGGCTTCGGACGTCCTGGCATTTCTCACAGAAAGAACCGCGAGGCGATTGTGCAGGTCGACAGCCACACGGTCTCTGCTGCTCAAGCCAAGGCCCGCAGGTGTCTCAGTGGAAGTCATCAAGTTCTGGTCGCTGGATGGCGCTCCAAGCATCTCCAAGCGATGTGATGTCTTAGCCGCAAGGTGTGACACAGACATGGTGGGGGTCCTGAAAAGCACCACGACCATCAACAAACAGATGCGTTGATCAGTTCACTGAGCTGAGAATTCCGCACAGTTGCTGCGTGTTGCTGCGCATCTTCCAGATCGCACCATGCCCGGAGATGCATACTGGAAAGTTCCTGTACCAGTACCCGTCCAGAACTGCACGAAAGCCCTGTAACAGATCGAAGCCTTGACATGCTATTGTCGTTGATGTTTCGAAGCCGATGGCCCTTGGTGCTTCATCATTGACACCCATTTTTAAAGTCATTTCATTCAGCCAAGCGCTGGTCTACTGGCAGTCTGGACTTGGAGCGCTGCAACTGAAGTCACTGCAAGTGGGGAGAGATCACTCGAACCCACCGTGGACGCTCTGCAGCATCAAGCACGACAAATGTCCACTGTATCTGTGTTATACACATACGTTACGTCGACGTTACATTACATTATGTTGCATTACATTCCATTACGCACATCAAACACTTTTCTGTATTACATACACATCCCTTGTTGGTTGCCGTCTGTTCTAGAAAATTCACTCCGGCACAGCACTGTCGGTTACTTGATCTGGAGCAGAGCGTGCAGCTGTTACCGATGCCGCTTACTGGAGACCTCGCAAACACCAGCAGATCAATTCCGTGTTATTTGATGTTAAATTCCCGCAAGGTACTGAGTTAGAATGACGGGTCAGTAGCAACAAGCCATCAAAATATCGCCACAGTGTTTGCATAGTGTTCACACTTGCAACTGAGTGGCAGTGAGCAGTCAAGATTTGGCACCGTTGACATGTCATTTTTTTATTGTGTTACAGTGGCGAATGAGCTCTGCAAACTCGATGCAGCGCTCTGAATACCCTTGTGCAACCCAAATTGCGACCACAACCCGAGAAATTCTTTGCCGACTGCACCCAGGTTGGGTAGGTTCGGCACCGTTTGCCCTTTGCCTGTCAAGATGAATGGAGTTGGGCATGGACTGGCATCGATGCCCAGTCTCCGTCTGTGAAGCCAAAGCAAGCATGACGTGCCAGTCGCTGATGTCTGAGCAGCAGTTCGAGGAATTCTACCAGGCGGGCTGCAGTTAAGATCTATTAAACGCTTCCATTGAAATGCTGCAATATGAAAGAAAGGCTTCTCTGAGCGAGGTTCGGCCTTCAGGGTGTAGGCTGTCATGATATTAAACCCGAGAGACGAGTCCGACTTTTCCGTCAAAGAGGTGGCCTGAAAATCTCATGCTGGATGATCCTCCAAGGGCAAGCACCAAGAGCCAAGATGCTGAGAATGGCTGATGGGGGAATCAGATCGCAGCTGGCTGGCGAGACAGAAGACCAAAGATGGCCAAAGCATCGAACGATGTCTTCCCGGAAGGTCGCTGCATGTTTAGGCATGCGCCAACCGCCTCAGAAGAGCAGCAGCTCGCCACGAGTTCTCCTGGCTCCCGGGCCCGACTTTAGGTCCGGCTGAAAGGACTGTCTTTGATCGGCGGGTCTTCGAACATGCTGGCGGCAGGCTAATCCAAGAAGTTAGACTACCTGCAGACTCTGTAGACTCCTTACAACCCAAAGGAGAAGTTTCGACAACCCCTCAGTTTTGCAGAGAAAGTAAATCCCGCAAAAGAATCATCAGATTCACAAGAGGTCCACAGCAAACATAATTCACGTCATCGGGCACCTTCTTTTCCCAACCCGTTGCCCTGACAGATCTCGAACCTAGGAAGTGCATCCAGAAAGCCATGCATCAACATCAAAGCTGCACTGGCGAATGATGAATGGTCGCAGGGACTGCACGTGCCGAAATCTACGGAGTGTGTGTTAAACCAGCCGCGTTGCGATGCTTTGCGGCCGATACATATGCTCAAGGCCACCACCCCAACCGGTTCACGCGACCGCGTGACAAAAACCCATCGAAAGGTGCGCAACAGGACTTCTAAGCGCCTCTGCGGCTTGAACACCAGATGAAGCTGTCGTACCGCCTCGGGTACTAGTATGACTTCACGGCATGCTGTAATCAGATCAGCTGCTTGAGATCCTACTAGCGTGGCCGGATCAGGAAGAGTCTGAGCATCAGCATCAAGTTCGCAGGGTCCCAGCATCCCATCGAAAGCCGCCACATTGAGCGGGGCGTTCTCATAAAAGGAAGCCTTATCCCGGATTGGTGGCAAACCAGAGCCGGAACTCCGCACCAGCGCCAGAAGGTCATTTCCCACTCGGGCAAGGTCAGCATTCCCTGGGGCTTCAACCATGTCTGCATCGTGGATTCGTAAGCCTGTGCGCCTTTCTGCAGCAAGCTCAGGAAATTTAGCGAGGACAACGCGGCCACTTTCGGCGCTGGAGATGTTACGGCGAACCTACACATTCATGACATTGAAGACTTCTTCACCAAAGCTCCCCATAACAAAGTGAGCTAAAGTAGTAGAGCACTCCCAAGTGACATTGCACGCAGAACACCAATCTCGGGGTGTCAGGTGTATGCAACACTCGCAGTGATGCCATTTCCACTGCTGTTTGCAATAAGCCCAAGCAGAAACTCGACACAATTCAAGAGCTCGCCCCTCCTCACGGTGGAGACCCCTCAATTGACCTTGGGAAAGCCTGCAAGTGTGGAAAAATTAAAATTAAACGGGCATCGCTGTCGCCAAGCAGCACGGCCATTCCCGCCATAGCCTCTTCGCTCCTAAATTTGCAGACTGCTGGTTGTCTATATATGGCCGCATGATTCGTCGGGGGTCTTGCAGAAACAACTGAGGTTGGCAGAACCACTAGCAGTGCAAGCAGGAAGATCCACGTGTGACCTCGATACTCGATACAGCTAATTCGCATAATCGGGCACCTTCTTTTCCCAACCCGTTGCCCTGACAGATCTCGAACCTAGGAAGTGCATCCAGAAGGCCATGCATCAACATCGAAACTGCACTGGCGAATGAGGAGCGGTCCCAGGGACTACACGTGCCAGAATCTACGGCAATCACAACAAAAACAAGTTGGTCACGTTCAATGCTTTGGGGTGGCGCGCAACAAAAGCCGAATCCATCGAGAGTGTGCGCTAGTTTTCAAGTTTTGTGATGTCCGTGGGGAGCGTCATTATCAAAGAGGCAACAAAACTGAAGCCGCACCTGGCGGTAATTTTGAAGGCAGGGGTTCAGGGATTAGGTTTCCTGAAGTTACTACCCTCCCTGCGAACCACCCCGTTCCTTCTGAAGCACTCCGAAGTATTGTAGCAACAGTCACGGAAGCTCATGGCGCATGAACGCGCCTGCCACCAAAAACATGCCAAATGCTCCACGTTGACCGTGCACAAATCTGGCGCTGAAGGGTTTCTTGGACTATTTGGGCGATGCCAAAGACGACTTTCCAGAGGCTCCACTGTTCTACAGCACAAGCTGCTGCAGTCAAGCTTTGTGCTTTCCCGGCTTTGTAGGATGCTTGGGTGGTCGATGATGAGATCTGGGCGAGAGTCATGAAGGACAGCGGTGCCCGTATGAGCAACCGATCTTCTTACGATTGGCATGCCAAGTCGCTTCGAGCAGCATGCAAGCTAAAGGAGTGGCTCGGAACAAGCGATCCTTCAAGATTCGCTCCGGTGCCGAAACATCAGGGTGGTGGCCTGCCGTCGGCACGCAACCCAAGTTGCGCAGCTACTCAACTCCTGTGATATAGGATTGAAGTAGCACGGTCAGTCAAGCAAGAAGCCATCCTCTTCAACGCGCCAGTTCAAGACTTTCGGGCTCACGGAAGACAGCGACGACGACGACTACGCACCGTATGGTTCAAAAGACGATGGAGACGAAGAGGAGGCATTGCACTGCTCGAGTTGCACTGGCCAATAGGATCTCATTAAAGTGGAGCTGCAGCGTAGTCATACAGGCGGCGAACGAGATTTACGAGCGCAAGCTCGATGTAGACAACGAGCAAACGGAGCAGGTGGATGAAAAGCGGAAGTGCGTTCCTGAGCTACCAGAGGTCTTTTCCGGATTCCTCCCATTCGAATAGACAAAGGAGCCGGATGGATTTCTTCCAGGAGTTGAACAATGCCTGGCAACTCGATCGCAAAATGTAATTTAGATATATTCAATTTAGATCCAGATTCACTTTGCCGCGCCAGCTAGCATAATCTGCCGTGTGCAGGCTGCCCTATGTGGACGAGTACTATGAGACCTTGACTCCGGAGATGCGCAGTTTGGACTGGCGAGAGGAGGCTGATGGCATTCCATGCCACTTGCCCAACCGCGGATGCAGCGTGATATGAATTGCAAGCCACAGCACTGAACGGGTTGCTCTGGTAACTGGTGGGAAGCGAACGCCTTGCCAGAACTTGTGGCGGCTGCTGCCGCAGCAACGTCGCGAGTGTTACCGACAGTGGCTTGTTGAGGCTCCTCGGTGCGACTTGATGCTTGCAGCCGTAGCTACACGGATGTTGCTGAAAAAGTTGCTGGAGCTGCACAGGCGCATGAAGAAGCACGAGGTATACTCCCCGAGCTTGCGCACTTACTGGAACGGAACGCAGAGAGTCGAGCTGCCTCTTGGCTTGAGTGGGCGTGTGGATTGCATTGAATATCCTGCGACCATGACTGTGCCAGTATTTAACAGAGACAGCCATGAAACACTGAAGCCGCGGCCCAATGTTCTGGTGTAGGCGAATCGCGATGCCCGCACGCGAGATCCGAGAAGCTTGCCTATGCACGACATCTCTCGTCTTTTCTGCGCGACAAGGTTAAGAATGATTAACCCTGAAGTCGCATGAGTGTTGCAACTGATGGACATACCCGCTGGTCAACCCACAAAATTTGTAGGAGCTGGCAGAAGCATACCGGCATGCATTGCGACTGACTCCTCTCAGCTAGTTAGGCTCTCGACCGAGATCGAAAGCTGGCCGTTCTGCGTGAAATGCAGGTGCCACTGCTATGCAGGGCTTATGCAGTTGCGGGCACGTTGTCGGTCAAAGATTAGTGCACGATTTTGCCGAATTGCAGGGAGGGGATTAGCTCAGGGGCACTCCATTTTGTCTCGGGCTTGGACAGGTCGTGGGCATGACGACCACTGCCGTATCCAAGTATCAACAGCTTCTGAAGGACTGACAGTATATTCAACTTCATAGGCCTCAAACATACACGGGGCTGTGCAGCTGAATCAAATCCCGTCTGAGTTAATGATGACTTCACAGTCCTGCCGATCATCCCGTAAGCCGAATGCGCCCACTCAGCTACATGCCGCTGCGAGCCCAGGAACCACGCAAACTGGCATGCAGTGTTGCTACGGAATTGGCGCGTGCCATCGCATCAACGCGCCCGAGCAGACGACTCGTGCAGGAGCTACGGCCCGAGGTTGTCATCGTCGAGGAGGCTGCTGAGGTATTGGAAGCTCCCGGCTCAGCTCAGTCGATGCGCATGAAATCTCGAAGCCTCCATGGAGTATGCTTTAGATTTCTCAGCGCGCGCCGAACGGCTCAAGGTCGAGGGAACGGCGGGCAAACATCTTGCAAGCAAGCACACGAATGCCTGCATCTTTTTATACACTTCCATTTGGGGAAGGAGTCAGTAGGTACACGTGTGAAAGGGAGAGCAGGATGGACAGAGAATGTAGTCTACTTCCTGGGTGGTTGTACACAGGTGCGCGTGCATTTGCGCATGTACACGATGTAGGAACCAATGCACGAGACAGTAATCCAGCAACGCACGGACCCTGCTAAACATTCAACTGTACCTCTGTTTGCCAACGTACTTTCTGCAACTGCAAGCAGATTGCAGCACATCAACAAGCGCTTGTTTGGGTGCAAACTGTACGCACCTACTCGTGGCCTAATTCGACAATGTGTGCTGCTTCATGGTGCGACAGCATGCAAGAGAATACCATGCAATGCATGGCGACGTGCTATAACCCGCTGGAGTCACGTGTGAACGGCTTGGTATCGGAATGTAAGTGGCTGCCTCGTGACGCATTCTGGCAGCCTGTATGCATGCAGGTTAGGTATACATGACTACGTATGGTGGGTGGCGTGTCCTTTGTAATATCGTTTGTATACTTGACCTCGCATACTGTGTGTACGTGTGCGTGTATGTGTGTGCACGGTGTGTGCATAGGTATGTGTATAGTATATATATATGCATATGCATATGCATATGTATATGTATATGTATGTGTAGATATATATATA